AAAAGACAGACAAGAGAATGAAAGCTGGGCCTCGGTGGGCCGCTGCTCCCAGGTGAGAGATGGCACCAGCGCCCACAAGCCGTGTCGTTTTTTTATAGACGGATTCCACGAGGCAATGTAAGGGTGTGATCACGTTGTTTACAGCATTCTTGTGGGTTTCAGTCCCACTCAATTACATGCACCTGAACTCTCTCACTCAGACACGTGGGGCCACGTGTTCGGACCATCGGTTCAAGCTCACAGCTAGAGCCGTTAGCTATAATTGTGCTGGGAACGCTCTGCCCTCCAGCTGAGACTTGCACGTGGCCATGAGAGGACCGTGCCCTCTCATCAGTCCAAGGCTTGAACCTGTCCAAACACTTTACCGCGCCCCACCATAAAAGTGCTACAGGAGCCCGGCTGGTGTTGCTCAGTGGATTGAGCATCATCCCACATAGACCAAGATGTCTGGGGTTCGATTCCCAGTCAGGGCACATGCTTGATCCCCAGTAGGGGGCGTGCAGGAGGCAGCTGATAGATGACATGGATGTTTCTATCTCTCTGTCTCCCTCTCTTTCTAAAAATCAATAAAAACTTTTTTTTAAAGTGCTACAGGAACATGGAGGGAGATGCTGCAGACACTTCTCTGGGAAGGAAACTTAAGCAACAAAGGCGTGCATAACATCCCCCCGGGCTTTGGGGGCCACTGACGCGTCTGCAAAGGGATTCTCAGAGGACCAGGGCTTCTCTAGGCTCGCACTCAGTCACGTGCTGGGGACGGAGAAAGCTGGGGTTGGGGTGCTTCCTCTGCAGGGAGACTCGGACCCCCTCACTTGCCTCCCGTGGAGCGGGGGGGGGCCTGCAGCCCTGGAGGATAGCACCCACGCTGGGCTGCCCCTGGATACCGCTCAGAATCTAGGCATTCGGATTCAGTGAGTCCATGTTGTGGTCTCCTCCCCTGGCCTTGCTGGCCACAGCTACGCTGGACCTGGGAAGGGCTCGGGGGGTGGGGTTTCTGTCTGCAGAGTGCGTGCTGGACAGGCTGCCGTGGCCCGCCCGGCACACCGCTATCGGGTCATGTCAGTCTTAGGGCTTTTGATGCAACTAACAGAACACCCACCGGCACATGGCCTCCTAGCTGGTGGTTTTTGTTTTTCCTTTCTCACATGACAAGCCTGGAATTAAGTACTTGGGAAGGTCAAAGCTCAGAGTTTGCTGTCTGTTACCCCCAGGGCCAGGGCACATGAGACCTCACTCACTGAGCCAGAACTTGGCTCGTTTGTGCTCCCAGCTCCCAGTCTAGCGGCCCCCGATTCCAGGCCTGAGTCCAGTAACTTGTTGACCGGCTGGAGCAGGGCTTGCTTTAGTGCCCGCCCAGGGGTGTCGAACCTCCATGTGACAGCCTGCTCTGCCAGCCCATCTGGTGATTGTCCAAGAACTCGGACAGGAATCCCTACCCGTTCTTTAAAAATCCATGCCCTAGCTGGTTTGGCTCAGTGAATAGAGCATTAGCCTGGAGACTGAAGGGTCCCAGGTTCGATTCCAGTCAGGGGCACATGCCCGGGTTGCGGGCTCAACCCCCAGTAGGGGGCGTGCAGGAGGCAGCCAATCAATGATTCTCTCTCATCATTGATGTTTCTATCTTTCTATCCCTCTCCCGTCCTCTCTGAAATCAATAAAAATACATTTAAAAAAAAAATCCAGGCTGTGTTCTCTTGGGGGACTTTGGCCCGGTATTTTTGTGTTGTTGGGTTTTTTCCAGTCCAAAAGTTAACATTCATGCAATTTATTAGGCTGATCCGACCCGGAATGTTTCTCTAAAAATAATCTTGCTGTAAATGTTTTTGAAACTACATTTTCACAGAATAAGGAAGTCATCTGATAAAGGACTAATTGTGCAAGAAGTGCCTGGCCAAATTTCATCAGATTATTTAAAAATTGAGATGTAATTAACAAATAAAATTGTAAAATATGAAAATACTGTACATCGTAGTGACTTAAATACAATAATCTTATCAGGTTTAATGTTTAAAAAAGACAAAACAAATAGCATTGCTGGAAAGAAGTTCTGAAGCGGAAGTTTCTGAACCTGGTTGAGTAAGAGCAGGGCCCACCCCCTTCTTAGAGTAACTGGGCTAAGCCCTGCCGCCCGCTCCGCTCCCAGAGCAGCAAGGTCCTGCAGCCACTTCCACCAAAGGCAGCAACTCGGGCAGGCGCCCTAGGGTTCCTTCCATTTTACTTTGTTTATGCTGAGTCACGGGGTGGGGCGGGTGCAGGTCGGAGCCAGGAGCAGTTACATGGTTGAACGATAAAGAATGCGTGTGTGTACGTGTGTGTGTGTGTGTGTTGGGGGAAGGTGTCCAGCTTCCCCTCGGTTAGCTGGCTTTATTGAGTCTTCCTGAAGAATAAAGAGTTGGAAAGGACTTTCAATTAAGGGAGGGAGGCAGCTGGAAGTCTGAGCAGGAATACTCCCCAATCAGGGTCAGCTCCGAAGTTCCCTTCCAGGGTAGCCAAGGCATAAACTGAGAGGGGAAGAGTGGGTGAGGAGGGGTGAGTCCCCAGCCAGCCTGGGGAAAGGCTGGAGGCAGTTCTGAAAGCTCTGGGTTCCTATCCTAGAGCCACCCCAGATTGTGGGGCGGGAGCCACACCGACCCTTCGCAGGAGGGGAAGAATGGAGCAGAAAGGCTCTCATACCTTCAGCTGTAGGCCACTGAGTAGGTTTAGCAAGAATCCAGGTGATTTTTTTAAAATTGATTTCAGGGAGAAGGAGAGATAGAAACATCAGTAAGAGAGAGAATCATTGATCGGCGGCCTCCTGCACACCCTCCACTGGGGATGGAGCCCACAACCCTGGTATGTGCCCTGACTGGGAATCGAACTGTGAACTCTTGGTTCATAGGTCACCAACGCTCAACCCTGAGCCACGCCGGCCCAGGGGGGTCTCGCGTGCTGTATGTTTAGCTCCTGGAGCAGGACCCGGAGCAGCAGGGCACTTGGCGCTCAGCTCCAGCTCCAGCTGCCTCCCAGGAACCACACACCGTGAGCACTTGACCCAGCTGATCATCCTTTCCAGAACGCGCCTTCCCTCGGTTCCTTGCTCCTCCCAGAGCCTCCCTGCCACCTCGCCCGGAAGGAGGGTGAGTCAGGCCTGCACGCCTCCTCTTCTTCTTGCCACTCTCCCCAGGGAATGCCGTCCTCTCCATGCTACTGACTGTGCCGCTGGCCAGACCTTGTCTCCAACATCCTCCTTTTCTGAGCCTCTGGTAACCACCTGCCCTGAATATGCCATCAGAATGTCTCAGGCACCACACCTAAATCCAAACACACCCCCCTCCCCCAGCCTGCTCCTCCTGTGTCGTCGGACTGCCGATGAGGCCCCCTTCCCCACCCAGGCCCCTAACGCTGCTCACCGCCTGACTACCCTCCGTCAGCCTGCTCCTCATCCACCTTCTTGCCCTCCCTCCAGCTTCACTGTGGCTTCTTCCAGGAGGCGAAGCATGTCGTCCCTCCCAAGCCAGGCCCCAGAGCACCCGGGCGACCTCATGGAGCTCAACATGCTTTTCGTAATGATGCCATCTTTCTGCCCGAGGCCCTCGGCCCTGGCACCCAGCAGAGCCCCTGACACAGGACGGAATGGAGGGGCGCAGTCCGGGGGCAAAGGGCTTTTCGTAATGATGCCATCTTCCTGCCTGAGGACTGTGACCCTGGCACCCAGCAGAGCCCCTGGCACAGGACGGAATGGAGGGGTGCAGTCGGGGGCACAGGGCTTTTAGCAAAGAAATGTGGGGTGTGGGAGTCACAGGTGGCTTGGGTAAACCCAGACACACCAGATGCATAGGTTGCTGTTCTCCATTCCAGAAATCGGATTTGGAAGCCACAAATGATCAAAGTCTCTTCATATTGACAAACATTTGCCGATTCACGTCATAGGCCAGGCCCTGTGGAGCGAGATGGCCAGCCCCAGTCCACCTTCCAGACTCTCACCCTGGGGCAAGCAGATCCTGAGCTCTGAGGGGACAGGCAGGGTGGGATCCAAGGGGAACTGGACAGTTGCAAGGCCTTCCCCCTAATGACCTCAGGGCAGAGAAGAGGGGGAGGGCGCAGCAGGCTGCTGCTTCGGGCTGAAGGAGTTCTGAGAGTTGGTTCAGGCACAGAAGACTTGAACCACCACTCTGAGTGTGAAGGCCAGGGCCCCGGAGCCTCAGGCCACATCCTGCATCCGGGTCCTTGGCTGCCCACGCGAGGCTCCCTCCCAGCCCTGGAGTCCCTCCCACTGCGACAGGAGGTGGTCCCAGGTCTGCAGGGAAGATCACTGACAGCAGCACCCCCAGACGGAGAGGCGGGCCCTGAGCCACACCTCAGCAGCAGCTGGCCTCCGAGATAAGTTCCTACCCCAGGCCTGGCCCTGCACCTGCAACTAACTGCCAAGTGCCCTGCAGGGCGCAGCCAGAGGGCCAGTGGTATAGCTTCTCACTCTGAATCCAGGAGAGCAGCCACCAGTGAGGACGGCATGGGAGCAGGCGTGCTAGGTAGCAACATGCAAAGGTCTAGCAAAAGAAATGGGGAAAGAACTTGTCATGTTGCACAAGCTTCCAGCTGTCAAACAGGCTTGTGTGGGCCTAACGCTCGGAGAAGCCACAGCCTCCGGGAGTGGGAGCCTGAGATGGCGCCGTGTTGTGTGAAGGTCACTTCACGCCCAGCCCAGGCACAGGGAGAGGCCCACCGCTGGGTTAGGAGTCAGCCCTTGCCCGTCCTCCCTTCCAGAGCAAGGACTTTCTCCTCCAACAGGCCCCTGGGGATGGCCCTATTGCGTGGCAGGGCGAGGGAGACACCGGGACAGGAGCCCGGGGCGCATAGGAGAGTGGCCCCACACACCGCAGAGGAAGGAGAGGAAGCTCAGGCTTGGCCAGGAGTGGAGGGCGGGGGGCTCCAGCTCCCAGCCCCTGACAATGCGGAGAGGGGAAGGGAAAGGTGTGTGTGTGTGTGTGTCCCACGCTGACGCTGACACAGGACAGACAGAGTCCGCTGACTCAGGGCAGTTTATTGTGAAAGCCATGTGTGGGAGGGGGAGGCTGGGGTGGGCAGGACCAGGGCGCAGCTGGGGGGGTTTGGCAGGGCATCAGGCATTCCTCCGCGTAGGTTTAGAGGCAACACCCTCATGGATAAACACCCCCAGAGGCCGGTGGGTGAGCGGGCGGCCTAGGCACTGGCGGGGACCTGGGCCAGCAGGGCTTCGATGTCGGGCTCGATGTCGATGGTGGGGAAGCGGCGGCTGTACCTGCGCACGGGCACGCCGTCCGGGCCCACCAGGAACTTCTCGAAGTTCCAGGACACGTCGTTGCGGCACACGGGGGACCAGGTGACGAGCTTGGGGTCGGTCATGAGCGCCGTGGCGTCGTCGCTGGGCGCGGGCAGCGCCTCCCGCAGGAAGACGAAGAGGGGGTGCGCCTGCGCGCCGTTCACCTCGCACTTCTCGAACAGCGTGAAGTTGGGCTCGAACCCGCCGCCGGGCCGGACGTACTTGAGCAAGTTCAGGATCTCCTCGTTCTTGGCGTTCTCCTGCGGGAGGGGAGCGCTGGGAGCCGGGGCCTCGAGGGGA